TATTTATATATATATAAATATATCTTATATACATATACTGTGAAAGAACTAAATTTGGATGCTTTTTGATGTTATCCCCTTTCTATTTTTTTCTTAATCGGTGAGATGTCAGTAGCTAAGGAGAAGAAAAGGAGTTAGTGATGCAATGTAAATACTGCCAGTGATGGAAAGAACTCTTGTTGAGCTGTGGTTAGTAATAAAAAGTACCCTGTTCTTCTTTTCGTGCACCTGTCCTCCCTTTCTTTCTCTGGCATAGGATCATATTCATTATCAAGGCTCCGCTAACCTATATATTGTGTTCCTTCTCTTCAGATATATCTTGTTCCTTACAATGACATTCATTCACATTCTGTACTGAGATTTATGCTTTCATTCTTGAGGTTTTCTTTCATCTTCCAGCTACTCCTTAATCTTCTTTTAGTGACTTTTTATTTTGCAGGAGATTCTGAGATTAGTTTCTCTGTCTCTGATATCTGGCTACTCTGCATCAGCAAGAGTTAAGAATATGTAAATTCTAGTCTGAGTTAGGGGCACTTTCTGAAAATGCAGCCATGGTCTGAAGTGGTAAACTATAAAATGCCACTACTGGTATCTGTATTTCATTACAGTGAAGAAACATACCTGTAAGATGATACCTCATAAGTAACCTTATACATATGTAAAAAGCCACTTTCAGTATGAAATTCTAAGTTCCAAATATATATACACACACACCCGCCCCAAAGGTCTCTTTGTTCTCTGGAACCTAAGGCTTACTGTTGCTGAGAGACTTGCAAAGACAGTTGCTTTTTCCAAAATTAATATTTTTTCAGATATAAATAATAACCTTTTTATATTAAAACTTGACAGTGGTAGGGAATAGAGCTGCAGGTGTAGATACAGAGAGGAAGTATCTTGGCATGTTTAGGGTTCTAGGAGTATAAGAAACTACTGTGAGTTGTGGAGCGGCGTTTACATGTTCTTAGGCAATGCAGGTTGGTTTTTAAACTCTACAAAGCCCATAAAATGTCCATTCATCCTTCTTCTTCCTACACACTGTGAGCCATGAAATGTATCCCAAGAGCCTTTAAGAAAATTAGACTTTTAGTTAAAAAAACCAAAACCCCCAAAGCCTCAAATATGTTAAGACCAAAAGAGGAGGGAGACAATGCTAGTGCTTGAAATACTTGCAGCAGTGGGAGTTTGTAGTGTCAAAATGTCCACAAGACAGTAGCTAGTCAGTTTATACCACGCTCTAGCCAGAAGGTAGCTAGGAATGAAGTTGTTCTTCCAGTCTGACCCATGGGAAAGTGTCCTTTTTGACCTCATACTTCGTGGTTGGGGTGGGATGTTTCTTTCCAGGATGTTTTTGAGCTGAAATGATAAAGAGGAAAATTAGTAAGCTGATACCTGGTATAGATTACATATTGAATCCTGGCATCACTGACTTCTTCAAAAGTGACAGTTTTTCAGCCCTTATGCGTTTCAGACACTAGAAAATATTTTTTTGGGAGGAGTAACCCAGTCTCTATCTACCAGATAGTTTATATTCTGTAGTTATCTGGGTTCAGTGTGTTCTCTTTAAACAGTTTCAAAAACTGTATCTTCACTTTCTAGTTACCTTGTTTCAACCTTGTTCCAGTTTGTGTTGACCTTAGTAACTTTTTTGTCTGCTGCCTTTCTTGTTTTCCCTTGTGTTCTGTACTGTTCCAATACAGGCTTGACCCGTCAATAATCAGTAGACATATGCAAGGCTGTAATTCCAGTTCATATTTCAGATGCAGTATTCAGAGTGTCTTTGAGAACTAGTATTTGTTGCTATCTTAAGCCTGTAAATTCCTTCTTTGAGATAAAGCACAAGTGGCAAAAATCAGATACAAACATTTTCTTTGTTCTCTGAAATAGTGTTTTTAAAACTCAACACTCTTAGGATGATAAAGGCTCTTTTCAAAGTGCTAGTAGGTCTATAGTATATCTTCTATCTATCTTGCAGGTAAATTTGTTCTACTTTTTTTTTTTTTAAGTTAACATAACAAATGATAGATGTCCATTTGTCTGAGACACTTCACCTCTGTCTTGGAAGTCAAAAGAAAAGGGTATTTTTGCCTTCCTTGATGTATCTCTTTTTGTCCATGCATCATAATGTTATTCTTGTAATGAAAACTTTGTGTCAACATCTGCCGCAGGCTGAAAAATTCTGTGTCTTTATCTGGTACTTTTACTTGCAAATCACACTTCCTAGATGTGCTCTGATATTCCAAAGATTGATATACTTCTGTAGTTTGTCCATGAAACAAAGATTGTTTATATTGTGGGGTTTATTGCTTTTTTTAATTATTAGATCTTCTGTTGTTTTGCTTGATTTGTTTCCTTTTCTTATGCATTACTTCTGTGTATCTTGATGCCACAGAAAATTAGTAATCATATTCAGGTTATATTCAGGACTAAAGGGATCTACCTGGTTCTCTTCCCTGTATTTTTCTATATTGCTACCAGAAATTTGTAGTAGTTTAATGAACTCTGGTACAATTGACACATTACTATTGCTTTTGGTTCTCCAGCTCTCTATTGTGTACACACTCATACTGTTCTACTATTTTTGTAATCACCAATATGACAAAAATAGACAAATAATGCCAGCAAAACTCCCAGGGTTGTTTATCTAATCAGTCAGTGAAATTTGAGTTCCAGGGTATGATGTTTCTGTAGAACATCAATAAAAATTGTTTTGCCATGGCTGGGTTAGAAGTCAGTAAAGGTTTTTTTGGTTTTTGTGGGGTTGTTCCCCCCCCGCTTTACTAGAAAAAACCTGCTCTTCCTATTTACTTACTCAGTTGTATCTTCTTTATTGCAGAGGAGTTATCTCTAAGCATCTCTGTTTCAAATTGCCAGGTCCAGGAGAATGTGGTGAGTCATATGCATTGTATAATAATAGTGTTTATTTACGTGGGTATTATAGAGTAATTGGTAGTAACGGTGTTTGGATAAGAAAGCAACACCAGAGTATTGTAGCTGTGTTATATACAGGAAATAATCTACTTACCTGGCACAGCTGTTAGTTTGTATGAATGTATGTCCCTCCTTACAGTGCTGATAAGTGGATCCTTTTCAGGAAAAGTTTGTTGTGTTTTTCCACTCCATTCCGGGTAATGATGGCACCATTTACAGAATTCGATTAATGTCAAATGTAAATATAGCTTAACCAGTACTAATTAATATACTCACGAACATTGTGATTACTCCTGATATTTGTGATTTCTTTTTTTCCTGCATTAGGATATCAGCTCTGTGTACCAAATATTTGCTGATGAAGTGCTGGGTTCTGGTCAGTTTGGTATTGTATATGGAGGTAAATTTACATTAGATTCCATTATGTGTTTATTAAGGTAGAATGTCTGTCTGCTTGATGTAATTAGCCTTTTCATATTTGCTTAGCTATATCTAGAATGTCTAGGTGAAGTTTATCTTGTTAAAAGTTCTGTTTGGATTACTGTGTCTCTTTGCAGTTTTATGTACTGTATTTCTTGCAATTAATTTTTTGCATTGAGAGTTTTGCATTGGCATCAAAATCAGTTTAGAATATACATTGCATTTTGACCACAGTAAAATACAAAGCAATCTCTAGTCTGAATTTGGCCTTGCTTAACTCTTTTTTTCTTTTTTTTAATTGCAAATTCTAACACTGTTGTCTGTATTGTACAGTATTAGAAGTCATGTATTTAAGGAGACTGTCAGTTATACCTGCTTTTAATGATATGAGATGTGGCCAAAGGCAATTAGAAAAATACATAGTTTATGCTTTGACAGTATTTATGCAAGCATATTATTGACATTTTATACAAACAGTTTTGCTACAAATTTCTGTCAGCAGGATAAAGTAGAGGGAGATTTGGTTTAGGTTTCAAATGTAGTTTTATCACTTCTAGTTTTTAAAAACTTCTATTGCAATGTATAACTTGTTTATAGTACGTAATCACAAAAAGAAGTAGCACTGGAAATGCATCAAATGAACTGTTTCTCCTTTTTTTTTTTGTTTCCTTTTTTTTTTAATCCCATGTGTTATGTATCTCAAGTATTGAGAAAACCACCTACCATAAATCTGGAAAGAAAGAAAGAAAGAAAAAGTGATAACTAATGATTTAAAAGTGGTAATGTTTCTGCTTCTGTCATGTTGTCTTTCTAGACAGGAAGTATTGTGGCTATGATTTTTCTGTGTGCCAAATGTGTAGTTAAATACTTTTGTCTACTACTTCTGAACTGCTTGATGGAAATGCAGTTTGATGGTCTGGTTTTACATCACTCTTTAGAGGGGTCTATTTTTTTTCCCCTCTGTATTTCTTAAAGCATAGTGTGAACCAAAGCGTGCTCCCTCTCTTATGAACAGAACATGCACAAATGCAGACAGTAGTTTAATGTTTTGATTTTATTTTTAGATATACTCTCCTAAATTGCCTTTTGGATAAATCTCAGCTTGGTATTTTTCATTCTTGAATGCTTATAAATGCTTATAAAAGGCTTTTATTATATTAAATCTTTTCACTTAAAGATGCCTTACAATATATAGGGTATGCATACGCACTTTCTTAAGATAAAATCACAAGCTGAAAGAGCAAGAAAAGAGACTATAAAAGAATATTCTTTTGCTGGCTCTGCACGCTATTTAATTGTTGCTGGTGTTTGGGGAGACTAGATGTGGTAGTAACTTCTAATATTGGCTTCTTCCGACCTGTGTAGTCTTACTGAAATAATGGTAATCAAATTTTTTATTTAAACTAATAAAGGTAAAATTAAAATTAAGTTGCTGACATTCTTGTGGGGTTTATTTTTTTTGTTGGGTTGGTGGTTTTTTTGAGGTTTGGGGTTTTGTTTTGTTTTTTTTTTTCTTTGGTGTGTCCTCTATTCTAGGCAAACATTTACAAATTGTAAATCAAGAAGTTAACAGGATATTGATACCCAGCTCCTGGGTTTTTTTCAGTAAGAACTTTTCCCCTCTGCTTTTCCTATTTTGGTTAGTTTTGAAGGGTCTGAAAAATGGAAACAGTAAAACAAAAATTCCTGACAGTTTCTTACTGATGTAAAACTTGCCCTGAAATGTAGTTAGTTGTGTTTTACTTAGGAAAAGGAATTTTCAAGCTGCTTTTCTATTAATCTTTCTTCATGTTCAATTTTTAGCTCTAGTCTAGCTTCTGTAGTTAAGTATTTTGTTAGTTTGGCAGTTTTGCTTTATGTTCTCTTGCAACCTAGCATTTGTCTTTGGGTTTTGCATCTAGCTCATAATTTATGGTATTTCTGGTACATTTCATTATAATTTGATGTCTAGTGGAGCCAGAGTTATTTTCTCTGAATTCAGATTATAGCTGGGTGTTGTGATTTCTAATATTTTGCCTAAAAATTGCTGATTTGTAACAGACAGAATGACAAAACTTCCCGGAACACTCTTTTGAGACTTCTGGCTTTATGCTGTTGTCTGTGACTGTCCATTATACAGCGTATACTTTCGTTAGGAGTAACGTAATCTTTTTAAAATTTGTTTTGCTCTCCAGTTTTCAGTTCTGTCTGGTAACCTTGTAAACTCTTTTGGACCTAGAGTGATGTCTCCGTTAGTGGCTTTACTTCGTCTGCTGGAGATAAGCCTGGTTTTGACCCTTCATTTGTGATGGTGCATTAGTTGCTTGGCGCAGCAGCCTTTGGAGCAGTCCCTGTGCGCTGCCTGAGCCCTGGCCACCCGTACTGACTGCAGAGCCGCAGGCGAGGCCTGGCTGGACACTTAGCGAGGTGTAGCAGGGCTCCCCGCAGCAGTGCCAGCAGAGTCCTCTCTGCCGCTTGCACCATAGCTCTGTGTGTCGTCCCTTTTACTAAAATGGCTTCCAAGCTTTTCACTGAGCAGATAATGCCTTTTTTTTCCTTTGGTGAAGACTTATTTGTTCTATATTAGTTTAGTGTTAAATGTCTTAGATTATCAAGGTCTTGCAGTGTGTGATCCTGTTAACCTCTCTGTTGTGAATGTGATAGAAGTCAGTTTAGCAGTTGTGGAGAAGCTGGGTAAGCATTTACACCTAGTCACTTTAGCCCTTGAAACATCCTATCTGTGTATTGCAGAATGCTTCTCATTTAGCTGATGCAGGTTGCAGTGAGGAATAGCATTTGGCGCTATCAGCCCATTTTTTTTCTTAGCACAACCTTTTAGAGCTTTTTGATCGTAACAGACTGCCTTTGGGTGTTAACGTGTTGTTGTTCATGGCACATAATTACTCTCACGTTCCCGTAGAGTATTAGGTATAATTTCCTGTGCATGTGGAGCCCATGAAAGTATGAAACCACTGGAGAAGACTTGTAGATCTTCCTTCACATTTGTCTTGAATGGTTTTGTTGTTGTTTGTTTTTTTTTTTTTTTTCCCTTTACATGAGAGGCAATATTCTGGGCATAGGTGTTAGTTGCTCATGTACAAGTCCTTTGCACAAGCTAAAACTGCACTTAATACATCTAATGTCAATGTGCATACCTGATAGCAGAGTAGTAACTAGTTTAAATTTATCTAAAACAGTCTGAGGCTGATCACTTCCTGTTATTCACATACCAGTTGCAATTTAAAATGTAAATATAGTGATACCATACACTTTGTACAGAATATACTTGTTTCCCCAAAAAAGAATTTCTGCTGTAAAGTTGTATAGGTATGAATTGCTTCTACCTCTTGATAGCTGATGTTGACTGTCTGTTTAGGAAAACACAGGAAGACTGGAAGAGATGTGGCTATCAAAGTCATTGACAAGATGAGGTTTCCAACTAAACAGGAAAGTCAGCTTCGTAATGAAGTAGCCATTCTCCAGGTACAAAAATATTTTTGGAGCACATTGGAGTTTTGTATCAAGCCATTAATAAGATTTTTGTGATGTGTGTAAGTGCTCTGAATTGATTTCTAAATCTGAGTGCGTGATTTCTGAGTCTTTTTATAAGAGGGAGTCTTAGAAGAGAGGGAAATCTGAGCGTTTGGTAGAATTGATAACTTGGGGGTGGTTTGTATCCCCCATTGGGGATCCACTGAAGATGTGTACTTTGACTCTATGTTGTCTCCTGCAGGTAGCAGGAAACTCTGTATTATTTTTGACTGTCTTCAACTCCTGGCTCCTCAATCTATGAGTGTTATTCTTGTGTGTTCCGTACTCAAGCTACTGAGTGTATCAACTGTAAAAAATAATCATTACAGATAATTTGTGTTAAAACAAATTAGTCTCGGTAGTGATAATATGCATGTTTCGTAGGTTGATGTTTATGTTTCAGGCTAGTTTCTTGCCTCAGACATTTTGGTTTTTTCATCCCTAACTCTCTGTTTAACTGCTTTTTGATTTGAGGTACAATATTTCTGTGTAATTCAGCATATTTCATACCGTTTTATTTTAACGATGAACCTATACTACTTTATTTTAGAATTTGCACCACCCTGGGATTGTGAACCTGGAATGTATGTTTGAAACTCCGGAACGGGTCTTTGTTGTGATGGAAAAGCTGCATGGCGATATGCTAGAGATGATTCTTTCCAGTGAGAAAAGTCGACTTCCAGAACGAATAACTAAGTTCATGGTCACTCAGGTTGGCATTCAGTCTCCCTTTGAGAGGAAAAGCTAGATTTGTTTCCTGTAATTATGTGAGAATAGAGTTTGAAGAAGGGGTTTTCTGTGTTGTTATTGAAAAGAGACAGCAGTGAGGGCTGTGCATCTAATGAAATTTGAATAAACAGGGAAAGAATTTTGAATGTTAATTGTGTTAAATTTTTTTGCCCTTCTTTCCCAAGACATAACATTGCGGACATCCAAAGATGCATGTCAAAACAGTAAGCATTCAAAGAGACAGAGAGGAAGGAGGGGGGAAAAAAAAAGGGAAAATCAAAACCAACAGTTCCAAGTCCTGGTAGGCTGGAAAAAATAGTACTTGCACAGTTTATACAGGTTAAGTGATGAAGGCTTTCTGTGTTAATACAAATTACTGTATTGCTTAGTGTGTGTGGCTTTTGACACTTCTGATCCACTTTAATAGTTCTGAAAATGTTCTTTACTTTTTGTAGATACTTGTTGCTTTGAGGAATTTACACTTCAAGAATATTGTGCACTGTGATTTAAAACCGGAAAATGTATTACTAGCATCAGCAGAGCCATTCCCTCAAGTGAGTGAGGATTAAAAACCATTTCTTTCATCACTTTTCATTGTTTTTGGTTTTTTGTTGGGTTTGTTTGTTTGTTTGTTTTTTAAAGAAATACAGGCATAGTGGCTTAAAAGGTGACCTCTTGTGGGACTATTCAACTGACTTAGTCTAGAATTGTGAACTACATGCATTATAGTTGTCTGTCTTGGTTCTTTTTCTAGCTCTTAGCCTGGCTTTGTGCTCAGTGGTCTGTTTCAGTTTTTCCCCTCAGACGTGGATCACATCTCACGGTGATGCTGTGCACCAGCATTCTTTCTTCCAAGGAGCCCGAGAAGTACAACTACTGCCAGCATTTAGCAAAGGACTGTGTAGACTATTTTTATGGTTGTGAAGAGTGTGTGGAAATCTGTATTCTGGATTAGTGAGAATAATCTTGTACATTTTTCACTGGACTAGAAGCTTCAAGACCAGTCCTCATTTCTGTTCCAGTGCTGTTTGACCTTGGGAAACAATTTCTTCCCTGTTGTGCATCTCCTCCTCCTCCTCACTCTTGTCTGTCTTGCTTATAAGCTGTTGTAAAAAGGGTCTGACTCGCTTGTCACGGGACTTGCTCAGGGATCTTTGTCATCAGTTTGTGTAATATTGCATTGTAATATGAACTAAATAGCTAATTTATGTAAGAGAAATGCTGTTTGGCGATACTGAACAGTATTTATGTACTGTCAACACATACCCCAGTCAGCTATTACCTTAGATACCTTGGATTCTATGGATTTTGTGGAGGATATACAGAAATTAAAATCTGCTAGGTGGCATCAGGGAGTTGCTTCCAGTCCTGCAGCATTAATGCAAAGCGGAGTGGCCTTTTGGAGAGTCACTTCTATGCTTTTAGTGCACTGCTCTTTCTTACATCCTGAGGACTTACTAACTTGAGGTTAGTGTTGAGCTTGATCTGGATCCTTTTTTCTGTACAAGTGTCTGCTGTGTTCAAGCTAAGGAACCATCCTAGAACTGTGATGATTTGACCATCAGTGCAGGTTCCAGCTGTTGACGCTTTTTACCTGGATGACTATTGGACTCTTCTGCCCAGAGCTGGCTGGGTGTGAGTTCTGGCTAAAACTCATCGTTTGATTTCTGTGTAGCTGAAGCTGCCAGCTTGAGGAATATGATTAAGATGAATGTGATCTGACTGGGATTCATGTGCTTTTTAAATTTTGGTTCTGTGCCTGGTGAGGGTGTGGATTTGCCTCTGAAAATGAGTTTGGAGTCAAGTTTTTTTTGTCCTTATTTGCACACTTGTGGCCATGTACTACACAGACTGCCTCAGACCCGAGTCTGTGCAAGGCCAGTTTAGGTTTCAGTCTGAAGCATGGTTGGTCTGCAGTCTGGAAAACCAGCAACCTAAAATCTTAACTGACTGGCTCAGGTAATGCTTTGTCTCTGTTTCAGTGCATACAATGTTTAAAATGATGGCAGTACTTGATGGTATCAAGTACCGCTCTGGTTTTGGGTCTTGGCATGCTTTGGAGATCAAGCAGAGATTTCTCAGTTTAAGATCTGTTTCTTTTGCAGGTGAAGCTGTGTGATTTTGGCTTTGCACGTATCATTGGTGAAAAGTCTTTCAGGCGCTCTGTGGTGGGGACACCTGCTTATCTTGCCCCTGAAGTGCTCAGGAGTAAAGGTTACAACCGCTCTCTAGACATGTGGTCAGTAGGAGTTATTGTCTATGTGAGCCTTAGTGGTACATTCCCATTTAACGAAGATGAGGATATAAATGATCAGATTCAAAATGCAGCATTTATGTACCCACCGAATCCCTGGAAGGAAATTTCTAGCGAAGGTAAAGAAATTAATTTTCTCTATTAGAAAGTCTTTATATGTAGATAATGCATTCAGATGCTTAAACCTCAAGATTTATCCAGATGGGAATGTGAGAATTATTGATAGTTTGAGTTTAGACTCTCCCAAAATTGATAAATATGAGCTGGTATATATTTGTGAAAGATAAGTTGTCAAATATGATGTTTTAGATAATTTTCAGGGTAGGAGTAGCCAATAGATTTAGCAAGGAAAATTAATTGCATGCATAAGGAGTGGGATTAAATAACCTGAAACTTCCCAAAATTCCCAATGAAAAGTTAAATCGCGTGTTATCATTTGCTGAACACTGGTCTCAAAACATACTTTATCTAAACTATAATTACAGACATGATTCAAAGTTGAATCTGCAATTTTAGTTTTGTACATCAGCAAGTGAAACAAAACTTGGATCTAAATGTCAGGTCTGACCAATCTAGAAGTTTACGAGGTTGGTCGCTAGAGCTCTTCAATACCAGCTTTGTTATTAGTAATGTGTATATGATTAACACACAGGTGGATGTGGAAGGACATACGCAAAAGTATACAACAGTGGAAGTACCTACATCATTTTGGAACACAGGATTATGCTCAAGTTATTTAGGCACTTTTGAAAAACCACTAAAATCAGTAGTGAAAAAGATTAACAAGTAATATAGTAAAGCTTTTAATGTTTCCATCAAAGCAGGGGGAAAGCTAACCTCGTACCTATTTCTTAGCCTCATTTAACATAAGCAAAGCTAAATATAAAATTCAGGAGCTTGATTAAGCTTAAAAGTTCAGTACGATATACACACACATAATTACTTTCACTGAAGCATATGAATTATGATAGAGGTGATTAGTAATTAAACAATATAATTTTTGTTCCTCTTTGTCAGCCATTGATTTAATAAACAATTTGCTTCAAGTGAAGATGAGAAAACGTTTCAGTGTTGACAAGTCCCTTAGTCACCCATGGTTACAGGTAAACCCATCTGCCTTTTTCACAACGTTATAATGGGCGAATGATGATTGTTTTTGATGAAATCCTTCAGAAGCTTATTAAAACTGCTACTATCAAAGTCTGTCAACAAGCATTCATGGAGGCTTGAGTATGTCTGATTTTGGTTTTACATTTTATGTGCTCCAGGATTCTGTCCATCTGTTAATGTGTCCTTTCCTCAAGGACAATTTTGTCTTGCTGTCTCTCCCACCCCTTACTTTGTCTGACATCGACATAAGAGTTTTACTCTTCTGGCACCTCTCCTGAATGTGGGCAGTGATAAGTGCATGGAGCCCAACTGAAATCTACATCGAGACAAACATTGTTTGATCAATGCTGAAGCGGGCACACAAGCTGGTGTGTGCTGTAACTTGTAGTCATTGTAGAAGAGAATTGTTTGGAATGGAATTTATCCGCTTGTTTGACGGGGGTTTCTTTCACAGTGGTTTCACAGTACTGTATGCACATATCCGTGCACACAAATAACTTCAAAGACGTTAAAGGGAAAATCCGATTAATTTGGAGCACAAACAATATTGTAACGAATCTAATTTCATGTGTGGGTCTATATACAATTAATTTTATAATAAAGCTAACATAGCTGTCTTGTTACAAAAGGTCTTCATGATATACAGTATTACAACCTTAGATGCTAGCCTATTGAATTTTGAACCGTTCTTTGTGGACCCTCTGTTAGGATATCTTGGGGGGCGGGGTGGTTAACAGATGTTGAATATATCATGTGGCTATTTATACTAAAAGTAGAGACAAACTGCAGAAGAATTTATCGGTGAGAATGTAGTGCTGCTGTTTCTTAAACTGCTTCCTTAAATCTCTTTTACTCCTTAGGATTATCAGACTTGGCTTGATCTCAGAGAATTTGAAACGCGCATTGGAGAGCGTTACATTACCCATGAGAGTGATGATGCACGCTGGAAAGAACACGCTTATGAACACAACCTTGAGTACCCCCAGCATTTTATTATGGCTCCTAATCCAGATGACATGGAAGAAGACCCTTGATTTATTCATTATGCCAAATTGCGGCAGAGAAGGACACTCCAGACAGAAACTGAAGATAAGTTTTGGAACAACTGTTGCTCTTTCTGAATGCTGTACACAGCGTACAAAGCCCCAAAGGATCCTGCATTGACATGGGAATAGACTGTCATCTGACAAGCTTTTCTCCATCTCTGACTTAAACTATGAGTAGTTACTGGACAGTGGGATAAGCCCTGTTGGGTAACATTTCACCAAGCTGTGTGGCTACAAAGCCATTACTGAGGTGTAATGTGTACAGATTGAGTGGTTTGTGTGTTTTTCAAGGTTGTTTTGTTTTTTTTCATAGCCTACACAATAAGAATTTTGTAATGGTTTTCTAATCCCTATTTACTAGGCCATAGAGGACTGTTTTCTGTTACTTAGATACATCTCCCGTTTCCTAAACTGTGCATGGTGAAAAGAGATTGTAAAAAGAAATCGGTGCAGAATACCTTGGCTAGTAGCAAAACATGATGGTTTAGGTCGAATACAGCTTCATAGATGAAGGAATAATTTGCTGCTGTTAAGACAGTTAAATATGTGTGTCTTTGCCCTAACTGAACTTTTCTCGGATACCCCAAAACAGAAAAACCCGTAACTTCTTACATTCCTCTTGAAATGCTAGCTGACAATCTAAAGAGAGGACAGTCAAAGCTATGCTAGTCCTTTATTTTGTCTGTTAAAACAGAGCAATAAGCCACGACAGAGTGTTGCTGTGCAAGGCTGGCACACATCATTGATACACACCAAAGGCATTTTGCCTTAAAACTACACAAGTATTGCACAGAGCACACAAGACTTGATGTAGCATATCCTTTCACTCTGGAAAAACAGCTTCTAGCAGAAGGATGTGGAAGAATAGGGAAAAACACATGCAGCTTTCTTCTGTTGTTTTGAGTAATTAGATTTTTAAATTTTTCTAATATTTTTCTAATTTTTTTAAGGTTCCCTGGACTTAACATCAGGAGTAGTTTGTAGCCTGCTAGCTTGTATCTTAGCTCTGCTCGAAACCTAGGAGTAACAGCAGATTATCAAATCACCTGTTGCTTCTGCCAGGGCAGCTGGACTGTAGGAGAAAGGGCTTTGCCTTCTGACCTTGACCTGCATCCCCTCCCTGTACTGTGCTCAGTGTTGGTGTTTAAGCTGAAGGAAGAGTCCAAACCCAACTCCCAAGTCAGGTTTTTATGCAGAAGCCTCGTGTTGATGGATTCCCAACCACTTACTGGACTTGTGGCATAATAGAGAGGAAGCAGCAGTTTTCTGTGGAAATGATTCCCTCAGAGAGTGGTGTAATGGTTAAAGTTCACGATATTTCAAAGAAATTTGAGGCCATGAATGCTAAATGCAAATGGAAGAGGTTTTTTTCTTTTTTCCTTTTTTTTTTTTTTGGCCCTATTTTAAAAAATAGAAAAGGTGAAATCTGTCCTTTTGTGTGGGATAACAGCATCATGCTGCTGGAAGGTGCTGGATGGCTGTACGTATGCCCAATGTGCTGAGCTGCTTAACTGGAGCTGGGTTTGAAATACTTTTAAAAATACCAATACAAGCTTGAACTGCAACATCAGTGAGAGGCTTTGGGGTAGCTCCTCTCTCTCCTACAAAGATTTTTGTGTGTGTGTGTGTAGATAAGTGTGGTTTTTTTTCTACTGTTATTCAGGTAATGAAGCAGGTGGGCAGACTCTTCTAAGTTTAGATACGTGTGCATCAAATTTTACGTGGTTATTTCAGGGCTGTCAGCTGGTTGCAACGACAGAGACCTGGCAGTAAAGTCAGTGGCAGTTGCAGAAGTATGTACCCACAGGTAGGTTTGGGTCTCTAACCCACCATTTCTTTTCCTATTGCCCGTAATCTAACCACCACTGCATTTTGTAGGTGTCTAAGTTGGTAAAGGCTGGACTCTGGCTTCCCCGTTAGGATACATCAAGCTTTGTACAAAACTTGTGTGCAATCTGTAGGGCAGTTCCCTACAGTCAGAAGCGTGCAGAGCGTTTCAGCCCTTCAGACCACCCCGCATCCTCTCTCTTAGCACGTGTTTTTCTCAGGTTTGTGCAAGGGGACTTGCCTGATGGCAGTCCCTGCCCCTCCTACACTGGGCATCATACTCCCCCTTCCATCCTGTCAAGGCAGCACAGAGGAATTCAGAAGGGGTGGAATTTGTCCCTTAATCTTGCCATCCAGTTAAGGCAGGGTTTCCAGACTGATTCTTTGGAGAGATGTTATTTTTCATCTTTGGAACCAGAACAATCACCTATGAAGTTGGTAGTCTAGCACTTGCCCAGGCTTGGCGAGGGAAGCAGCCTTTTTTTTTTTTCTACTTCCACTGCTCAAGTGACCAAATTTCAGTGATGCCATTGCTATCTTCCATCCTAACTGTAATAATGTAGATACAGTCTGGTTTTAAACTTCAGATTTTATACATCAGCTGTCACTTCAGGTTTTCCTGTGCTTTGGGGTTGGGTTTGTTGTTGTTGTTGTTTTAAGGGAGGGGAAAAAAAGCCAGCTCAGTCGCTTGAAAAAGCACAAGAGGAACAGAGGAAGGAGGGGACAACAATGAAGTAGAAGGCCTGGCTGGTATCTCTCCCCATAAAGTCTGCTCTGCTCCAAAATATTAAGATCTATTTATTCTTCAAATTTTATTAAAAAACCAAAAATGCTGTTGGCCTTTGGAGGAGATTGCCTGATCATATGTGCAGACTTATGGGGCCAGACAATAGAAGCCACAAGTGGCTAGTAGTTGAGGAACCAAAAAATTGGACATAATTAGAAGTAAACTTTCTTCAGAGTAGTAAAATTAGCTGAGTTTTTTTTATTCCCTTTTTTCCTACCTTTACTGCAAACTTTGACAGCAGTAGGTTACAGCGTTTAATATCCTTACCCCTAGATGAATTAAGTTGCGTTCATTCAAGAAATAGTGCTATGATGATGTTAGAAAAAAAGCTCATGTAAAATTTATAGGCTCAAAAGGACACTGTCAAGTACTTTTATATTTTTATACATCCCATTGTTTGTAAATATCCTCTGATAAGCTTGAAAATAAAATTTATTTCCCTATCAGATTTGTTCTTTTTATTTACATGAATCTCTATGAAATGTTCTTAGAAGTAAATGTTTCTTTATGCTTCCTTGGCTGTGGATCTGTCATTAGATATGCCTTGCTGTGAGAATTCTGTTAGAAATTAGATTTTTAAACTAATAACTCTTTTTGCATGGTTCCTGTCACCATTCTCTTTATAAAAATACCTTCAAAATGTCAAGAGATCTGGTGTTCTCAGCAAGTACCAGAACAAAGTACTTCTTTGAAATGTTTACTAGTGGAAACAAGTTAAAACTTGTCAGCAACAAACAGATGTGCTAGGGGTCTTATGATAGAGCTGACTGAAAGTCTCCTTGAAACATTGTTCATTCTCTGCTCTGTGTATGCTGGTTCCTGTACCTGCAGCGTTTGATTTCTACAGGTACAGGGTAGGTCAGTCAATTGGTTTAGTGTGCAGCACTACAATTACTCTGAAATAGCACTCCCTACCAAAACGTGGCCAAGCCCTGAAGCATAGATTGGTGTGAGAAAACCGCCTGGAGCAGTAATGTGACATTCCATGTGCTTTCAGTTCAAAGATAGCTACATATGCAGTATTTATATGCTAAGTGAATTACTCCAAAACATTTAGTTTGTGAAATCATAAAATGCAGGACTCCATTCCTTTTACTTTTTTATTTAGTAAGTTGCTATTGAAAGCTACTACTATTGGACTTATTGCTGTAGTACTTAGAATTACTTCAGTAAAAGCTCACCAAATCCAGCAACAGGTGGTAAGGGAGACTTTGATTCTGGCTTATGTTTCTTGTCAGGATGGACAAGTCTGTGGTGAGGCAGCAGGGCAAAGAAGTTAAAACAGTCCCCCATCTTCTTGGGATTCATCAGCATATCATAGCTGTGAAGTAACTGCTCACGAGTGGCTGTGTCACATGAATTCTGCAAGAGCACCTAAACAAACAAACACAAAAAGAATGTAGGTTGTAGCCCTTCCTGCTTTGCTATGAATTCCCTCATACCTGCAATCGCTTGCTGCATCCTTTTCACTTATACTAATGTAACAGTGCCCTAGTGTTCAGCAGAACTGGCAAGATCCCTGGTGGAGCTCATACATCAATGTATATGTAGCCAAGTATTAGGTTAAATACTCCTAAATATAATTTGATGTTTACTTTGAGGGATCCAGCGTAACTTATGTCTACGAGAAGCAACTCTTTGATCTCGCACCTATGTGTTGTTTTAAACAACTTTCTTTTAAAATCAGATTTTTATAAAAGCTCTTGCTGCTTGTAGATTAGGAGAGCTTATGTACTTGTAAACGCTATCATACCTGCAATCGGAGGTCAATGCCCATGTTCTTTAAAAATTCCCGCTGTTTTATGGGGCCTAGTGTGGCTGTTCTTCCCTGGGCCATCTTTCGAAGATAGCTGAAATCAACATCTGCTGTCAGGTCTGCTGTACCTGGAGCTCTCAGCACATCATGAAGTTTGTGATTCTGGAAACCCTGAAAAATTAAATTGGAAGATTATACTCAGCTGTAGTCCTAGCTACCACAGCTGGTGCCAGCAAAAGACTAAATTGGGCATGTGAGCAGCAAAAATAGCAAATTATACTTTGAAAATTTGAGATAATCTGAGCACTTGCAACACCTATCTTACCTGTCTGGCAGAAAACCGTATGGCTACTGATGAAGCAAGTACTCAGTTTTGTGACTGCAGCATAATATGGGTTTTGCTATTATGGCCACCCAAGATCTTTGTCTTACAAGAACTTAATGATCCAAGTGACAAATAAGAGAGTATTTTGGCTTCTTATTTCAGGGTAAATGACCTACCCGGAAAGTGTCAGTTTTGGTTCCATCATGGCCATAATCAGCAACCAGCGCAGCCCCGCCATCCTTTTCTATACGACAGGCAAGCCTCTGAATGATGACCCCAGCCTCGGGACACACTTCCACATGATCTCTCCTTTCTTCAGGCTAGTGCGGAGTTCAAAGATCAAAACACCTGTATTAGCAAACAAATACAGGCCAAGAGATCTTCACACTTGATGTCTTGTGATTGTTGTCACTTCACTGGGGCACAGAGGGCCAGGAGTGCATTCTAGGCTACCTAGAGCTTGAGCTAGCTTTTGCTAATTGTCATGTTCAATTAGTGACTGCTGGATTTCAGTCATCTCTCTTATTAACTGAAATGAACATTTTTGTAACAAGAATATTTGCATCAGGTGAAACTGTGTTAATGAAAATAGCTCCAGCTGTGTACACCCTGCAAAAAAGCCTTTCTGTAGGAAACTTCATAGTTGGTTTTAATCTCAACTACTTCATTTTGTAACTTTAGAAAAATAAAGTCTTAGACACTTCCAACTGAAGGTCAGTATAGCACAGAAGTACCCAGCTGCACCAAGTACAGTACACAGCAAGCTGAGAGCTTGGCTTAGGCAGGGCCACTGTGGAGATGATGTGACACATGCAGTGCAGGACCTGCCCTGTCACTCGCTGCCTCAGTTTGCTCTCTGAAGTGTTTTGTCTGTTTAAGCTCTGATTTTGCAAGGTTTGATGTACATGTTTATTTTTGTGCTCAATTTAACAGCATACAAAGTTAAATGCTTATGGAAGTTTTGCAGAATGGAAATGGTAAGTGGTATTTACTTATTTATAGACTGAGAACCCTCCTCTTGCTGTCAAAGTAACTGAGAAGTGGTAAATGTAATTGAAAGGGTCAGTAAAGATCTAAGTACAAACTCTGGTAGGCATAACCGTACCTGAATAAAGTTTTCTGTTGCAGGGGTACTGGATGGTGACAGGACAAACCGCAGCTGGTCAGGAACTTCTGGATCTATATCAACCAAGACCTCACGCCAGCCTTTCTCTGTTCTCTGTTTAATGAATGAACCCAGAGTACTCATTTTATGCTCTAGTGGGCAGACACAGTATCTTGGGTTTTGAATTGAACTGATGTGTCAAGCATTTTCACAAAAGTTTTAAGAACATTGTATGCTATTAACAACTATTCACTCCTATTTAATTCCAATAACTGCCTTGGAAAAAGTCTGTGGCAGAGACTGCTCTGCAGAGTCAACAAATACGGGTTTAACTATACTTGAAAGGAATGAATGATGCTGTTAAGAAAAATGCTGCGTCTTCTAGTGGCAGTGCAACGTGTAACTTAACAAAATAAAATCAACTTATCCTACCAGTGATTTTAATAAATTATCAAATTGAAGTTGAAAGGTTCTTCTGAATCCTAACTAACCTTTATTTTGCTATTCTCATTACCATTCAAATGGAAGCCCTTCAGAGCATTGTCTTTGTTAGTAGTGGTATGTAAAATAATGTTGAAATTAAAAACCGATTAATGTGGCATAAGAAATAAACTTGAGACTTAATTAAGCAAAAAGAAATCACTTGCTTTCTACAAGTTTTTCCATTCAAGAACAATTACTAATTTTACAGTTATCAGCTGCATTAAGCCTTATTTGTCCAAGTTCAGTTACAAATATTTTATCACCATAGACAACGCATGTGTCTAGTTTGGAACTCTAATTCTGTTCTTCCTCAAAGAGCAAAGGCATCTAAGTAGATGGTGGCAATTACAATAATATTTTTGCTATACCTGAAACTTATGTATTGGCAGGGCATCAAAAAATTCATGTGCTAAGTAAAAGCTGTAACCTGCGGGAAGGTAAAAAAAGAATGTATTCAGTTATTAACACTCCCATAGCAGCTTCCATTTGAAAATTAAAATGTTTTTTATGAATTTTAAATGAAGCTAGTTAATGTGGTTGTGAAATAATTATCATTACTTCCAGCTTGGATACATCAAAGACAGCATTTCTACAGCTAGCTCTAGCTTCTAGTCCATGAATTTTAGATTGGTTTCTCATGAAAGGAGATTCAGGCAAAGCCAGTAAATGTCTTCCCATGAAAAGAAAAAGTATATATGAAATTGGGTAGCTATCCCAAAATGAAGGTAGTCAGAATAAGTAGCAGTTACGAAAATGAGTTAAGATCCTACCTCAGACTCATACAAAACCAACAAATATGTACATTAACTGCTTTTCTACCAATTATGAAGGCTAGCAGAGATGTCCTCCATTATCAGAAGCTGCAAATGGAGGAAGGGCAGCTTCTTACCTGGTGGTACATCTTGAATGTCTCTATACCAGAAAATAGGAATTCCAGTCTTGCTAACACCTTTCATGTAAGCAGACATGTCCTCGGGGTTTGACTGCACCTTCCCTCCTGTCAGCATCAGCGCTTGGGTCTCACTGAGTTTGGGACTCACTTCTACCAGATGAATAGAGACATCAGATTTACTAAGTAAAGAGGCAAGCTGGTTGAAGACCTATAAAGGCAGATGATTTCTATTAGGCACAGTCACATGCTGTACACTTTAAAGGTTTAAGATTTAACCTTTAATCTCATTATTTATATTCAAGATGAAAGATTTAGTTGGCTTTCATTTAACAAAGTAGTCTCAGTGAAAGAGACTGCAGTTTGCTCCTCCAGGAAAAAAGTGGAGATTTCTCCATTAATTTTAATAAAAGCTGCTACCCTTCTAATAATGTTGGCAAAATAGAGCACACATTACATAGTTGTAAGGACAACAATGTGAAATGCTAATTTAGAATAGTAATAGCCTGAGAGTAACTCACTCCTCTAATACCTGCAGAGGAGCATTAGGAGAAAAATGGTTCTATTTTCCCAGACACCATAAACAAAAGTGCTTGACATCCTACATTTCACTGTGCTTATTAGAGTTATTTCGTTAATGTATGTAAATAGAATAAAAGTTCTTCTAAGGTACTAAATCCCATTAGCAATCTGGTTTTGGGTCAGTATTTTAATTAAGACAGCCATGCAAGCATGACTGAACGTGAAGAGTTAACTCAGAAGAAATAAGCCCCTTAAATCCCCAAAGGAACTGACACAATTTCACTCCTGTATTATTCTCCCCCCGCTTCCTCCTATTGCTTCCACTGAGGCCTCCCTCCCAGTTACACACAGCAGCACCTTCCTAAATGGTTTCCAGTTTGGATGCTGATTTCCTATATAGAAGTAATTTGTAATGGAATATTACCACCCTCCCCTTCTGTCGAGAGGTGTTGAAAAGATTACACGCGTGTCTGCAGTGTGCACACACTGGCCCCTGTTCCGCTTTAAACTCCGAGACCTTGTCTCGGAACCATGCCTATCTTTGAATTAGAGTCGAAGCTGGAAATCTCCTGACTGAAATTGTTTGCTTACAGCAAAACCTCATTCCTTCAGATTTCAGTGTAGCCACAGAATAAAACCAGAAGTAGAGAACAGTAATATTAGTTTTCACCTACCCGTAATATATCATCAGTAAGAGTGCCCCTCCCTGGGCCCAGTTCCACCAGCTGGAACGCTTTAGGTTTGCCTGTTGCTATCCATTCACTGATATACCATATTCCTATTAACTGACAGAAACAACACCAAGAAAGAGTTACAGTAATAACCTGAGAACTTGTGAAAAGTGATAGCTGCCTTTTTCCTGATAAAAACTAAGAAATTATGCAATACTCTTGCTCAGGATTTTAAAGTTACAAAAAATCATTACGATACACAACTTTGACCTCTTTAGGTATTAAAATCATGCTTGTTTGTTGTCAGCCCAGCAGAAGCAACTCTCCACCAGTAAATGGGTGGGACTCTTTTCCGGATGGCACAAGAACTTCTTGTACTTAAGGCTCAAATGCAGGTCACCGTCCAGCTGCCTCTGAGCAGCTGTTCTTCACGGCAATGCATTTATCATCACGGCACTGAGAGCAGCCTTTAGCCAGGCTTCACTACTGGAAATGGTACACAAACCCGAGTGAACCAGACCAAAACCTGAAAGTTATTTTTGAGAAGAGTTTTCATATTGGGGAACTATCCTAACTTTTTTTATTTATAAAAGAGTTCTACAAAAATGTGTTACTAAGCACAGATGGTGTCCCAGATTATAACACATGAAAGGCCTCCCCCATCTTCCAGAACAACAAAACACTCCTTCCTCCTCCAAAACCATTTTTTTTTTTTCATTTGGGAAATAACTTGAAGCCTCGTGTCTATTGCTCATCGTTGCTATTCAAGTATTTTGACATCGGTAACACACACAAATACCGGCTTGGAAATCGCAGCTAGCCCCCTGTAGCTCAAGAACGAGAAAAAGATACTTCGGACACAAGGAAGTACGCGTTACCTCTCCAAACACCTGACTTATTTCAGGTGAGGTGACAAAATCCCCGGTTTCGCCGATGGCGCCGCGGTGCGTGTAGTAACCCTGCGGGGGGAGAGGGGAGAGGGGCCGGGGCCCGGTGAGCGGCGCACGGCGGGGCCGCTTTCC